CATAGTATAATCACTATACATCTTCATTGTTCCTGAAAACAACACTGGGTGGGAATGAAAAAAGTAAATTTGAAATATATTTATTGCCACAGAAAGAAAACAGGTTTATGCAAACCTATTTCTAGCACTGGTGAATCCATTTCAATTAAGTGATAAATATCCTAGCTACAATATTAGCAGTATTACTGATGATAGTTATGACACTGTCTAATTTTCAGAGGCATATTTATCATAATAATAGTTCTCACCTAACTCAAAAGGATGTTATGAGGATTCATTAATATTTATACCCATTAGTGTTTTGGAAATAACAAGTGTTATATTATTTTAATTTTTACACAACTAATTAAAGCAGTATGAGGTTGTAACTGGAGCCATAAGCACGAAACCTGTTCATTCCATGTAACAACTAGAATAGGACAAATAAAAAAAATAGTAACAACAATAATAATATGCTGCTTTCTACAAATACTGCTTTTTCATTTCATTCATGCTCTGATCACAAAGTTCAGGGTTTGTACTGGATAGCTCTGAGGTCTCTGGTCCCACCAGTCCCGTGAGATGTATAGCAACAGGCTGAGTGAAAAGAAATACTGAACTCATCACATAAACTACTCTAAAAAAAGAATAGTTGGTCCTGCTCTAATTACAACAATGATTAATTCTTTGCAGCTTTCAGCATTATAACAATGCATTCCTTTAACTGCAAAATAGGTAACAGTGGTTGTTGTATCAGCCATAAAATTCTCTAAGCCCTAATTGTTGTTCAGAAGACTTAGCAGTTTGGTCCATATTAATCAGCCAGGATTTCCTGTGGGTAATTGCTCCTAACTAGCTCAAATGCAGTAATGGACTGGTAAATTGGAAATGAAGAACAAATAGCTTTAAGAAGAATCTCGGCCACTTTATTTCCTCGCTTGCATTACAACGACAGCTATTAATAATAAATGCAATTAAATATTCTCTATTTAATGTCTCACCATGTCACTCAAGAAAATAAATTTTCTTCTCATTTGCGTTCTTCTATTTCTTGTATTTCAGAAATGCTACTGAATTTAAGAGTTGGTTTGCCACTTGGCAATTTAGGAAATCCCTTTTGGAGACCATGGAGACCCACAAAGGTGATTCCAACCCAAACACCAGAGACCTCTGTGTCTCCTTGGGAGGCGTGCAGGAAGCATAGAGCTCATCCAGCAATGCTGGTGGAGCCATGTTCTGGGCAAAAGTGGCTTTGCCACAGCCTTGGCCCTCTGCACCCTTTCTGCAGAGATGCAGTGGCTGAACCCAAATTTGCCCAGGTGTTTTGGGGTTACTGAACTCTATAGCCAGAATCCACACATACAGAATAACAGAATCACAGCATCATTAATGTTGTAAGAGACCTCTAAGATCATCAAGTCCAACCGTCAACCTAACACCACCATGCCCACTAAATCATGTCCTGAAGTGTCACATCTACACAGTTTTTTAACACCTCCAGGAAGGGTGACTCCACCACCTCCCTGGACAGCCTGTTCCAGTGCTTGACCACTCTTTCAGTAAGTAAATTTTTCCTAATATCCAATCTAACTCTCCCCTCAGGGAGAGAGGCCATTTCCTCTTGTCTAATCACTAGTTACATGGAAGAAGAGACCAATATCCACCTCACTACAACCTCATTTCAGGTAGCTGTAGACAGTGATCAGGTTTCCCCTCAGTCTCCTCTTTTCCAAACTAAATAACTCCAGTTCTCTCAGCTGCTTCTCATGTTTTGGGGAAGGATGATTTGAAATCAAAGTTTCTCTACAGGTGTATTTATTTCCCAACACTTTCCCAGAACTTCACCCAGTGCTTTCAGCCTCAGGTTGGACCTTGCTCTGGTATAAAGAAACAAAAAACAACAGAAAAATTGCAAGAGTGTTTTAAAGACAAAAAAGCCTAGCGCCTTCCCTGTGACCTTTCCAGAAAAAGAACAAATCTTCTGTGCTCAAGGTTACAAAAGCTCCCTATTAGCACAAGGCTTACCCAGAATATTGCTGCCTGAGAGATTAAACTTCTGTAAATATAAGCACAGCAAAATAGCATTTAGAATGAAACCTGACAGCCTGACTAGCCACAATGTACCCACACCAGTCTCACTACTGCCTGCCAAGCTTCCTGGGAGAAATATATTTTAAGGAACCGGCATTAATTCATCATCCCCTAAGATGATGAAGTGATACAACAGGAAAACACACATTAGTTGCCTCAATATCTTTGCAAAATAGGTGTCTGCCAGTTCAGGGCTGTGTTATTCCAGCGTGGGTGTCAGTGCTGCTACTCAGACCCAGCACTGAGCTGAGATGCCTCTGTGCAAATAAACAGAAAAAACTTAGAAGAAAACTATTACTGGCAGGAGATTGCTTTAGTAGCATTTTTCTTTAAAATACTTCACTTCATTGGAGTGACACATTATGCTCTTCTATTTTGATGTTTATTCCTAGCTGGTATTAAAAATAGAGGCTGAAATAATTCATATTATATATGAATAATTCAGACAAAAGATTAATTCTTATGATGTATATTAAGTTATACATATATGTAAATGCAGCTTAAGTATATTGTGTCAAATAATTATGAAAACATCTGTACTCACAAACAAAAGGCAACTTTTAAATGGCAAAAGATAAAGCAACACTTACTGACACCTACAAAATCAGTATATGATAGTTTCAAGAAGTTTCTTTTTTGCAAGAATTTGTAGAATTGCACTTTAAACAAACATCCTTTGCCAACACATTTCCTGAGTTTTCCTTTTGACTTTGCAACAAGGACAACTGCCCAAGGCTTTGCTAATCAATTTCTTGTGTTGCAGAAAACAGCGTAATTTGAATTTTGTCCAAGAATACAGTTTGAAATGCAGAAAATATGAAAAGCTAACTAACGTGCAATTATTAGTAGCCACAGTCTGCATACCAAGTGAGAAGAAAGCTGAATAAGTAATTTAACAGTTATTGCAACTTTAATAAACAACAACCATGGCTTAAGGATGCAATATTCAAAAGCAAATCTTACTACCCGTTTATTGGTATACTTCTTAAAAAAAATCATTGTATCCTTTATAATCACGGATCTTAAAGAAAACAGGATGGGTTTTACTTTTGTTTTGTTTTAGAAAACTATTTCAGAAACTCTTGCTATTGCAATCTCATATATCAATATTTGAACAATCTGCAATACTTGAATACACTGAATACACATCCAGTCACATCTTTAAATCTTCCCAAAGGCCATGTTTCCAGCTTGCCACCCTGGGTTTTCCTTTCGGGAGGGATTTGTAGTGTGAGGAAGGGAGCCCTTGGCTCTGTGCTGCTCTCTTTTCTCCAGCCAGGCATCTAAAGCACCACAACCCCATGGTTTGCCTGCACCCCAGAACAGATCTGCATATGCTGAAATGCAGAGTGGGGAACAGAGAGGAATACCTTTCCATGCCTATTCTCCTCCTCCTCTATTGCCTACATCAAGTGTTACTCTGCAGGCTGAAGGCAAAGTCAGGTCTGCAAAAGCCCCCATAACTGCGCTTCTTGCAGATGTTCCCAGTGTGCAGCCCTTTCAGCAAGTAAAGGCCGAGAATAAAAAGTGAATTTCTTACTACTGCTTTTTAGGAATGAAATTTCTTCTCTCATTATAATTTTTCTCATTATTGGATTTTTTCTCTCATTCTCAGAGGAACTGAGCTAGCCATGTCTCCTCGAGGCTCTTCCAGCTCGCACAATGCATCTGAGCAGTGTCAGCACAGGGCTTCCACAGTCAAACGCCAATCTCTGCTAAAAAGACTGAATTTTGCAAAACACCTCTGGCACACAAGGCAGGGGGGCTCTCAGGCAAAGGCTTTGCTCGTTCAGTGGCCATTAGGCTGCCTTCCCCATATTTTGATTTAACTTAACACTTTCACATACATCTCTGTCTAGAACTCTGCTAAGCTTTGGGTAAGTTAAGTTGCACCAATACTGATTTCCCAGCAAACAGTCTTCAAGAATTACCCCTAAACTGTCTGATACAGTTTTATTTGAACTTTTTCTAACACCAAGCGTGGTTCTCCTGACTTCTATACCACTGTGAGTCAGGAATAACTCCAAAGATACAGCACAGACATCAAATGAGCAATGGAGCCACAGCCTCCGCTACCTAAAGGACCAACAAATCTCCTTTGGTTACCAGCTGAAACAAGATTTATTTCATGGAAGAAAAATTACTGTTGCTGGTGAATGAATTATTTGCATTTTGAGGAATTGGTGTAATTCTAGATTATGGAAACAAAATGTATGGGGGTTATAGTTTATCCAAACAGTACAGCATAGCTATCATTCAAACATTTCAGGTCTTATACCAGCAGAATTTAAAGAGAAAATAAATATTATTCATGTCCAAGAACTGCTTCCCATGTGTCTGATTCTTTAGTCATCATTTAAAAATGACTCATTACACTTCTCTCTTTTGAAGTCTGGTAGAAAATTCACCCTAATCTAAAACTTACTAGTAACCCAACGGTGATTTCTTACAAATGATTTATACCTAACCCTCTGAAGAAAAGGAATTATAATGAAAGTGATAGCTCAACCCTAACTGCAGCACTGGGAACAGTGACACTATAATTAATGTATTATTTCAGTTGTTGGAGACACTGACAGTTGCTTTTTGTTCTGGGGAAGAAATTTATAGCGTGACTGAAAAAGGCACCATGGAAAAAAAATTACACAGAAGAGGAATAGAAATCCTTGTAGCAAAGACGTGTCCTTACAATCCCCCTCCCAAAGACTAAAAAATCCTGGGAACGACAGTGTTTCCCTCCGGTGTAATTTATACCTTTCTCCTCTACTAGATGGCAGTATGACATGCTCTCAGAGCATCGAAGTGAGGGGTTTTCTTTCTTTGTTTCATAGGAAGCAATTAATTTAAAATATCATCTTACTGGCATAGAGGTGGTGGGGTAGAAATCCCACCACTGGCTGTGTATTTTGAAACTGAATGTATTTACTTACTGGTTCAACGTTAAAAGCAAAAAGTGCATATTCCCGGTCAGGTGACACTTCATATCGAATAGCCTTTAAGGAAACCTAGAAAACAAAACAGACATTTAAATAAATATTTTCATTTTTTCAGGCAAGGCAATAACATCTATAACTAATTGTTATGACTAAGTTTCTAATGAAGAAGAATATTGCCAGACTAAGTGCCTTGAAAAATAATACATCACAACTCTTTTAAAAAACCAGAAATGTTTTGTGGGCACATATGTGCTCCCATAAAAGAAAACATAACTGCATTGTGACTCACACCAGAGAGCTATCTCAAAAAAATCAGAATTTTCCTTACAGAACTACTGCACAGTGGCTGGTGGGTCAGTTATGGCAGCAGGTAGTAGAAACCCTGAAAAATGTCAATTTATTAATTCCCTTATTCCCTGTTGTCACCCTCCAAAGTGTTGAAGATAATGAACAGTAAATTCCTGCCAGAGCAAACTATTATAAAAAGACTCCACTACCTGTCCCAATTAAGACAACACTGAGGAAAACTATCCCTATTTTCCCCAGCTAAAAAGTATTTTGGGATGCTGTGGTGATACAGCTTTCCAGGTGGACCGTGACCTGGGTTCTGCAAAAAGCTGTGCTGTAAGCCTTACTAACAAGAATAGATGCCAAAATATCAGAGACTTGTCAGGAATTACCGTTTCACTGCTGCACTTATCATTTGTATAGCTCAGACATCCCTTCTCTTTTCCAGCATGTTTCAATATAACACGTTGCTGGTGCACCAAGGTCAAAGAGAGATGTCACTAACATGTCGCTCATCCACTGCCTTTAAAAACTCACCCTCTCACCTAACAAATGAGATGCAAGTCCTTGAGAGATTCTCAAGGAGCAAACTGGAAGGTGGAATTTGGGCCGCATGGAAATGCACAGCACCCCCCTGGGAGATCCCTTCCCAAGGCAAGCGAGGCTGGAAGTAGTGTGTGGGGAAGTCAAGGGACAGCCAAAGGCAGAGGAGACTGATTATAGAATCACAGGATGGTTTGGGTTGGAAGGAACCTTTAAGGTCACTTAGACCAACCCCTGTGCAGTGAGTGGGGACATCTTCAGGTCAGGTTGCTCAGAGCCCCGTCCAGCCTGTCCTTGAATGTTGCTAGGGATGGGGCACCTACAGCTTCTCTGAGCAACCTGGGTTGATGGGTCAGTGAGGATCATAATGGGGACTGCCAAGGGAAACTGAAGGTCAGCAGTGTCAGCATGAAAACAGATTTTATTTGCTGTAATATTAATAACATGTAGAAAGGACAACATGCCAAGGCAGAAAAAGTTCTTCTGACTCAAGGCTGGGAAAGAAGAGGACAAATGCTACGTGTGTGTGTAACAGTGGCTTATTGGGTCTTTTTGAATGAATGAGGAGGTGGATCTGCAGATTTATTTATCGAGAGAGCAGAGGAGCAAGGGTAGAACAGGCAGCAGGGAGGCCATGGCACGAAATAGTAGGATCATCTTGTAACACTGTGCTTTTCTTACAAAAATTAAAATCCATGGGAATAAACAGAGGCCAAAAGGAAACAGTTTAACGTCAACAGACCTTGACACTAAAGGAAGCCAGCTCATTCCTTTACCCTGAGTAGAACTGTAAAGAAAGGGGTTACGGTCTGGTAAAAAAGGATTGCTTATGTGATATAGCAAAGGTTAAATGGCAGAGTGTGAAGTTTAAGGTTGTGTTCGGCAATAACAATTCAGTGATAATTTTTTTGTCTCATTAAACAAGAATTAATACTGTGCTTGAGCTTTGTATGAGTCATATACTGCAAAATAAAATCAACTTGGAATGTGGTTTTATAGTTTTCTTGTAGAAATACTTCTAGCTTTTGAGTTTCCAAAGCTGTTTTCTGTAGTTCTTGAGTCATTAAGATAAGCCCCCGTTAGCCACCCTCTGCTTTTGTAGTTTTGTAATGATACAGTACAACAAAAACACCTCAAGTTAATAAAAACCTTAGGCAGGTACTGCATAAGTGGCAACTTTACCAGGATGATGTGATTCATATTTCATTGTTGGAGCAAACATAAGTGTATTTTACTTTGGAAACTAACTTCTTACAGGAAATACCGAAAAAACTCTGACATTTAATGTACTAACTTCTGCCACAATACTGCTTTCATCTGCTACAAAAAACAATGCTACAAAACACTTTTATCATTATACGTAATACTCTGTATGAGCTATGAATTCATTTTCTTTTAATTCATTTTAATAACCACCTACTAGCTTCTTTTCCCAATAATTTCTTGGGGTTTCTCTCATATGCAACTCCAATTCATCAACACTATTCATTAGCAACACTGAAATTACATTTCAACCATTAGGCAAGAAATATCAGCAAACCCACAAATTAAAAAATAAGTATTTGCATGGAGGAATGTGGAGAATGCTACCAACAGACAGTAAACTCTATCAATTGTCTTTTCTATTAAGCATGCAAAGATGAGAATTATGCATCTTTCAATTATATATGATATGCAAGACTAGCTTCTAATATCTATATGATACTTTCCTGTAGTATGAAAGAAACTGAGCTTGCAGAATAATGACAAAAGCTGGAGTTGAATTTCACATTATCAGTCATTGTGTAGCCCATAGTATTGCTTCTCCTTGACAATACACGAAGTTGAAACTCAAGTCATTTTCTGCTTTACTGATCCAGCTGCAAAGAGTGTGAAATTCCTGTACTTGTTATAGAAAATACTTACAATTTTTTTGTTTTCTATTAATATTGTTGAATTGTTAGTTTCAACATTCCTCAGAATCACTGTGCCATTCTGGTTTCTATAAATGAATTCAGTATCTGCAATGAAGAAAATAAAAGAACATTAAGGACACCTGAAATTGTCTATTTTTGTAGAACCTAATTATGGGCTTGAACCAAAAGTACTGCTAGGAACTCCCCTCTAAAGAACATTGATTTTTTTTTTTTTAATGCAGCCCTTGTTGTGATGTTAAAGTGGCTTCCAGGTCAGTCATTAAACCACATAGTTAGTGTTTGTCACATGTTTATTCTGCCACACTTTCCTAGAGTTGAATGCAAGAGGGTGACCTCTTCTGAATGTACATTCACAGCTTGCTATACTCTTAGTATAGAGAAAAACAAAGTTGAAAAACATTCCTTTTGCTTAAAGGTTTCCAAGATCTTCCGTCTCTGTGGGAGTTTAATAAACCAGATGCCTAGAAAGTCTCTGTAAGTTAAAGGCAAATCACCCTCTAAAAAAGCAGATTCTTGTACTTAACACTATGCAGATCTTCCAGCTCTGTCATTTGTCTGGCAAATTAATATCAAAAGGAAAGGCATGCAAAGAAATTGCCATTTTCACATGGAAAAATACAAATCAGCTTGTTCCTATTGCATTTTGGGACTGACCCAGCACTCAGGACACCTGGACAAGGACAGGAATCCCCCATGGTAGCTGCTGCACAGTTGAGAGATAGTCTCCAGCTCAAAGCTCAAAGCCTATTAGATAGAAAGGATGAAGTAGATGTATGAAAGAGACTCCAAATGAGGGTTGGGTGGCAGGTCAAAGGTTCAGGATGAAAAAACATTACAACAGTAAAGGTTGCAATCTTGTCAGATGTCATAAACTGAAGTTCCAAGTCTGATCAGTGCTTACAAGCACTGCCCCACAGATAAAACATAAAACAAGAGTCCCAAGCACATTGCCCTTAAGAGCTTCAGGAGCATTTCTTGACACAAGAGAAGAGTTAGTATTTTTTTGCAACCTGGCTAAACTAAGATAGAGAACTGATGGATCCTAACAAATGTCTGCCTCCAGTTTCAGCCAGAGAAGCAATTCATCATTGTCTGCCTTCACTGTGGCTACCCCAGGGTGGCCACCATGGTGGTTCCCACAAGTGTTAGGGACATAGGAATGGTTTAACACTACCCATGGGTTGTCCCGGTATGAGTCAAAGGTGAGTTTAAATTCTACCAAATTCATAAAAGCATGAACCTAACTCATCATAACCACAAAAAAATGTGCACTGCAAGGTACCTTGCTGAAGACAACAGTGGGTCCAGAGGCCCAGTTCTTCCAAAATTTTGGAGTATGGACCTAGCATAGTCCCTCCTTATCCATGCTTCAGTCTTTTTTAATTTCTAAACTGGTGAAGACAATTCTCATCACAGTCATTATCTGTCATTGTAAAATGCCCTGAAGTACAAACGAAAAGTTTTTACACTCTACTTATTATCAACAAAAAGTCATCTACAACATATCATACTTTTACATATAAGCGTAGGAAGAAAAAAATATTTTCTGAGATTAGATGAATCAGATTCTGTGAGGCCAAACCATTGCTGCAATATAGATTATCCTCTCCAAACAAGATTATAAAGACTTAAGATTCTCAGCATCCAAATAAGAGAAGCAGCCCTTCAGACTCATAGTTAAAGTTCTCAAAGCATCTCTTTCTTTTAAATATGGAATAAATTTTATCAACACTTTCGGTTCTGAATAAAAATGCAGGATCTGACTTAGATAAAGACTTGCATTTGAGACCAGAATAATGAAGAGAGTTGCTGTTTGGATTTGATAGTATTAAAATTTTGTCATTAGTTCTGGAGTGTTGTCCAAGGGCATGGCATTTTCATAAGCATGCCTGATTATATTCCAGGCTTTAAAATATTGCTTCATGTGATTTATGACTGAACAAACAAAGATTCTTCAACCTGGAAAAGGACTGATTGAACAGAGCTATGACAGAAGTCAAAAAAGTCATAAGCAGCATGGAGGAGATAAATAATGAATGCTCGTTCCCTGCCTTTTCCAAAATAAATATTGGGAGGCACTAAATGACACCAGCCAGTGACAGGTTCAACACAAATAGAAGGGATTATTTCTTCACACAGAAAGGAAACAAGCTGTGGAAGTCACAGTCCCAGAGCAGAGCTGGTGCCAGAACTGCATATGGGTCCAAACAGGAATCACAGAAATGGAAGAAAAATGCATCAATGATGATAGGTTTTGAGGAGAGACAGTTTTCAGAAACCCTTGAAGCTGAGATTGTGAGGGACTAGAACCATATCCTGAATTATCACCTTGAGAAATTTGCCCACTTTTAAAAACCTTCCCTAAGCATTTGCTCCTGTCCTGGGCCAGACACCAGAAGAGACATCCTCTGGGGTCTGAGCCAGCACCAACTTATTTACAACTTTGACATCCAGCTTCTGTGTCCAGATCCTTAAGAAATGCCTTTATGGTAACAACTTGGGATATGATAAAAAGTGTTAATGCTCCCTACACACTGTACCTTTATATCCTTAAGCCATTAAGGCTGAAGCATCATTTGTTATATAAGGAAAGTATATAGTCCAAATGATTATTTTCAGGTATTCCAGAATTAACAGGAACAACTAAACTGAGAGACAGAATATTACCTAATTATCAGACATTTTGAAAAATATCACTGCTTTAATAATCACCCTATATCAACAACACAGCATATTTTCCTAAGGTCTAGGCAGAAAATCACATTTTAGATAGAGCCAGCAAAACATTTGGATAATTGTAAGCCTCTCAGGATATTTTCTAATTACTGAAAAAAATAGTGATAAAACTCAGCTCAAAGTTCAGTGCACAGGTAAAGTAGTTTATTAAGCTAACGAGTCTGTGGGGCTGTTAATATTTTGTAGCTGTTTCTTGAGCATGAACTGATGGAAGTTACATTACTGCCCATATTAGCATTGCTACTAAACTTTTATTGCTCCCTATGGTCTAAAAAACCATAAGACTTTAATAAACTGTGAAACTTCAAGATGATTACATAAAAGTTGCTCCATAGTTGGAAGTGGGAGATAAAAGACTTTCCCATTATTTGCTAAAGTGTAACAAGTTGAATATCAGGTGCTAATCTGCTGCCTGTACTTCTGGTATGAATAAGGAAGAATAGATGAAGCAGAGCTGATTTGTTAGGGCTGTAAATCTTGCTATTATATTCAATACAAGCCATCAACACAGCGTCTGAATTAATGAACAGAAAATTGGTCTGCTTAAGAGAAGGACAAATTGATCTGCATCATATTCCAAGCAAAACACTGTGAGGTTTAGCTGGACTGGAAGCCGTATTATCTTAGTCCTCAAAAGAATCGATGAATAATATTCTTGGACTTGTGTTTTGAAATGTGTGATTTGTTCCAGTGCAAGAACATTTATTTAAATAGGACATACCTCAATCAAAGGCAAAAAGCAATGCAGCAACCTCTGTCTGTAATGAATTCTGTCCAGTGAGCTGATGAGAATTTGCGGCCTGATTTATAGCTGTCACCACAGCTGATAAAGGTCATCACTGCATCTCATTTTTTATACTTGCCTTTCTTTGGAGCTGGAGTTCAGTGTAAATGATGCTGATAATTGTGACTTTCTGGTATAAAGCCATTTATTCCATTATATAATGGATTTCTTCAACAGCAGAGTTCACTTCACCAACTCCTCCCCCTCTTTCACTTCCAGGAAATTGTGAGGTGGGTAGAATATATTATGTGTCCATGAGCGTAAACACAGATACGTAGTCATGCTTACAAAAGCGACTGATTATGAAAAGCAATGACTACTTGAAATAACAGAGCAGCCTTGGAGCTGTACAGAGTCACTGCAGAGGAAAGGGGGAGCCGTGGCAGAAATTTTTAAAAACTTGCTCAGCAGAATGGGTGAAACCAGGAAACCCAAGACCAGTGATGTATTTGCAGCGTCAGTGTTTCCTAACTTCTTTGGATGTATCTCTCCTAAATTCAGTCAGGAAATATGCACACAGAGAAACAAGATTTAGCAACATGTAACTTGTGTCCCTTGCAGTCGCTGAGCCCTTGCCAGGAACAGCACACACATGGATGTGCTTAGCCCAGCAGCTCTGCCTGCTGGCCTCTTGTTTAGGGTGAAACAAAATAAAATATTGGGATTTCTCGTAAGAGAGCAATGCATTAAGTACTACAGCTCCAGTGCAGGTTTTACATTTTCAGGCATGCTAATGGCCAACTCTTCCCAAATTTTTACCATCAGAAAAGGCATAAGGTATCTGAAAACTTGCCCATCATGCTGCTGTGATGCTGAACCCAGAACTGGCAGTTGAAACTCAGGATAAAGATCATGAGGCTATCACCAGTATCATCTGAGGACCCCAAATCATCAGCTCAATATGTAGAGGGAGCCTAAAGAGCCAACAAAACGTTGGACACCATCAAGAGAGCAAGACAGCACCTCTCATTTGCCATGATATAGAACAAGGGAGTACAAAAATTCATGGTGGACTGATAAACTGCCAAATAGTAGAGAAAATAGGCAGGATACACCAACTATCATCTCTAGTGCAGAGCTGCCTCATTGTGTACCACTGAAAAGGGCCAGGCTCAAATCCAACATAGCATCAGCTATTGCCATGCTTAGAGACCCAACACTGGGCTAGAGGAGCACTTGTCTGAGCCAATGCCACTTCTTTTTAAACGTGTCAGATCAGGCACCAGACTAAACAGCTCATCACAGCAGACAAGAAGGCCTGAGACAATTTTATTTCTAGAACGAGTAAGTTTGAGTGTCAGTGGTGCACAGTTGAAGGAATTGCATTTGGCCACAGGAACATAGATCTACATTAGCATCAGTGCTCACGAATTTATGGCTGTACAGCTTCTCTGATGGGACTAAGTACACACTATCAGAGATGAGAGACTGGTTTGTAAGGTAATAGCAGGACCTGTATGTTTTTGAGGAGAATTTTCATTATTTGTCAGACATTATGGAACGCAGAACTATGTAATAAAATATGAGATGGAATAAAAATTTAAATCCAGCTCTGAAAAAAATATTGTTAATGAAATTGTAATTTTCTATTAGTTCAGCAACTGACAAATGAAAAGCAGAGAAAAAAAAAGTTAAAAAATTCACATGTAGCAAGTCAGCTGTAAGAGTTAGTGAAAGGCAGAAGGCAGTATCAGGACTGTTAAGACAGCTCTGGTCATTTAGAGCCACAGACTTAGAGGAAAAGGCAACTTCTCAAGTCCTGTATTTTCAGATCAAGAGACGTGAAAGATAATTGAATAAATCTCAGTCAGATGAAAGTCAGCGTCAAGAGAATTATTGTTCTCGATCGCTAAGATTAAGGAAGATTGGTGAATAAAGAAAATTTAAATCCTTAAGTCGTTCTGAACCATTTCAGATAAATGAGCCTCCAGATACTAGCATGACCAGCAAGGCTGGAAAACAAATTATGCCGTGTCAAGAGAGCAGATGGCAGCACGCCCTGAGGGAGTGAGCCCACATTGCTCCCTGGGGACCGAGGTCACATTGCACGAGCCACGTGTGCAGCTGCGATGGAGCTCTGCGCTGGCACAGAGAATGTCACCGGACCACCGGGGGAGGACTGGGTACTCTTCTGTTGTTTCTCATTCCTTCTGTTGTAGGCAGGGCCCTG